GGTTCTGGCCCCCATCATCCTCTACCTCTTCGAGCGGATCCTGCGCGTCTGGCGTGCGCGGCAGAAGGTGGTTGTCACCAAGGTGGGTGGTGCAGGAGCCTGTCTCTACCCCCAGCTCCTTCCCAATGTCACAGCCCATTGCTGGGATGGCAGGGGGGAGGCAAGTGGGGGCAGCTGCCAAAGCCCCCTGCAATGGGGCAGGAGCCAGGCTGGGCACCGAGCCCTCTCCCTGCCCCGCAGGTGGTCATGCACCCTGCCCGCGTGCTGGAGCTGCAGATGCATAAGAAGGGCTTCCGCATGGAGGTGGGACAGTACATCTTTGTCAACTGCCCCACCATCTCCCTGCTGGAGTGGCACCCCTTCACCCTCACCTCGGCACCCGAGGAGGACTTCTTCTCCATCCACGTCCGGGCAGCTGGGGACTGGACGGAGAGTCTCATCGATGCCTTCCAGCAGCAGAAGCCTGTGATGCCCAGGTAGGCTGGGAGGCACCTGAATTGACCATCCTGGGGATTTGGGGAGGCTGTACCTCTTACCCAGGCCCTCCCTTGGCCAGGATTGAGGTGGACGGCCCCTTCGGCACAGCCAGCGAGGACGTGTTCCAGTACGAGGTGGCCATGTTGGTGGGCGCAGGCATCGGGGTCACGCCCTTTGCCTCCATCCTGAAGTCCATCTGGTACAAGTTCCAGCAGGCTGACCAGACCCTCAAGACCAAGAAGGTATGAGTGTCCCATGGGTTTCTCCATGCTGGGCTTCCCAGTCCTCGACATTGCATCCTTCCACCCCTCCTGTTCTGCTCCACGTTGAGCAACCCCTCATCCCTGCATCTCAGATCTACTTCTACTGGCTCTGCCGGGACACGGGAGCCTTTGCCTGGTTCAATGACCTGCTTGCCTCGCTGGAGCAGAAGATGGCCGAGTCGGGCAAGGCAGACTTCCTCACCTACCGGCTCTTCCTCACCGGCTGGGACACCACCATCGTAAGTCCACCACGGGCAGGCGTGACTGCAAAGGGGGACACAGGGTGGCCAAGTCAGGCAGGAGAGGCAGGGCAAGCACATCAACAGTTTGGAGGCAGAGTGCCCAGAGCGGTGTTTGGTGGGCACCAGCAATGGGTGCCCCTCTGTGGTGAGGGACTGGAGGTGGGCTCACGTGAGGGTGGTGGCCAGGGTCCTCACTGTCCCCACTCTGCCCAGGCCAACAACGTGGCGTTCCACTTTGACACTGCTACGGACACAGTGACGGGTCTCAGGCACAAAACCATCTTTGGGCGGCCCATGTGGAACAGCGAGTTTGCGGCGGTGGCTGCAGCCCACCCCAGGTGAGAGCCGGGCAGGTTTGGGGTGCCGGAGCTGGGAGGCACCCCCTCCTCCCCAGCGCCCAGCACTGGCTTTGCGAGGGGTATGCTCATCCCCTGAAGGTTGCAGGGACTCCAAAAAGCTCTTCAATCACTTTTCCCTGAGCTGTCCCGTGCTGACAGCCCTGTGCTGTGTGCAGGTCGGTGGTCGGCGTGTTCCTCTGCGGGCCGGGGGCCTTGGCAAAGAGCCTGCAGAAGTCCTGCCACCAGCACTCCAGCCTGGACCCCAGGAAGGTCCAATTCTATTTCAACAAGGAGAACTTCTAAGTGGAAGCCAAACCAGGCTGGGACCCCAGCAGACAGGGGACCCTGCCGGCCTCACCTCAACCCCCATGCCAGAGCGTGGCCAGGGATAAGCATCTGCTGAGGAGTGCATACACCGAGCCCAGGCAAGACACGGCGAGCTTCTCCTCCATGAGAAACGCCACGTTCAAAGACTGCTGCCTTCTTGACCTGGTCTACAAGGGATCCCCTTGGCAGGAACGTGGGCCCACAGCTCTTGCACGGCCCACCTGTTGAGAAACCAGAGGCAGGTGCTGCGATGATGCTGCTGGAACAGCGGGAGCGCCCAGCGGGCTGGGCAGAACCACCAGATGGGGACAGGGATGGGAGAGGGACATGCCGAGCAGGCACCAGGGGCCAAACGTGCCCCTCCAGGTTTGAACAGTCCTTTGCATAAAAGGGTAAATTAAACTTGCCTTCCTTTCCAATAAAAGCCACTGTGGTGACAGTCCATGGAGGTAGGAAGGGAGCCCACTCTTTTCCCCCTTGTAGGGCTGCAATATAAAAGCTGGGTCACAGCAAAGCCCCTGGGGTGTGGGGTGAAGTGTTCCCCCTCTGTGGGGGCTCGCTGCCACCGCCAGCCTGCACCACCCACCAGGCACACACCAGCACTCAGGCCACCTTCAAATGCAGCTCACACAAAAGCAAAAACTTCTGCTCAAGCATATGCAGAGGAGAGGGGAAAAACCACCCTCACCAAGCAGGCTGGTGTGGTAAGCGATACAGCAACTGGATATGGAGCCCTTCCTGCCCGGTCAACGGGGACAGAAAGCTGAGCTCCGTGTCCTGCCCTTCCCTTACACCCCTGTGAACAGCTGTGAACAGCATGGCACGTAAAATCCCAGGAGTGGATCTTGCCCTGATGCTGGGCAGACGTGAGGAAAGCAAATGATTTGGACCAGCCTGGAACCAGTTCAGGCTGCTCCCAGAACTGAGAGTCCCACTCCGGCCTCCACGAGGGACCAAACAAGGCAGCCAGAGATGTGGCTTTACTCAAACCCTCCTCCCACTTTATTTCAAACATCATAAAATATACATACAGAAAAAAAAGGATGAATGGGAGGGGAAAACATTAGGTGGGGAGAAGAAACCTCTCCTAAACCACAGCATCAGCTCAGACAGCAACGGGAAGCAGCTGCCGTGGAGCACCTCCTCTGTCCAGGTGGACGCCACCTCCACCACGCTCCTGCTAGGCCTGGGAGAAGGGAGGAGAGTGAGCCCCAGCATGGAGGAAAAGCAGGACAGAGCCCCATCCTGAGCAGCTCTCTGATTTACTGAAGGAGAGTAAGCACAGGCTGAGGCCAGGTTAAAGGACGTCACCTGTCAAGGTGCCCCCGTGGACTTCTGGATTTGCTCCTTTAGAATAAGGATGCTCTGCCGTTGCTCCGGGGGCAGCATAGCGATCTGATCCGCTGTCAGCTGCAGAACCTGCATGATCAGGGCTGCCTGCGGGAAGAGGAGGGAGAATCAGAGACGTGCCCTGCCAGAGCAGCCACAGGTCACTGGAGCCAGGAAAGGGCTGTCCCCACCACAGCAAGGCACACAGGAAGTGCTGCTCCTGCTGTCTCACCCTTTCCCTTTTGTCCTCTCACCTTCTCGTGATCCTGGGGGGTGACCTGGCTCTGTCCAGGGCTAAAGCCTCCGGGCTGACCAGCTCCTTGGACCCCTGCCCCAGGA